TATCTTATTTATCATATTTTATTTACTATTATTTTATTTTGTATAAATACTCTATATCTTTGACCTGCTAAATGGCAAAGTCGCTACCAATTCTCTAATAAAACAATAATATTTATCTTTAAAAACTTATCTTTGCTCGTAAAACACTTCATTCTTCTTTAAATTTATATTAATAAAGACGATCTGACCCTTCAATTTAACTATTCGTGTTTATTTTTTCTATAGTTTAGACATACTTAAACTTCCTGCTAGCAAATAATCTTTATTAACTTAACGACGAACAGTTTAAGCTTAACAACATGCAAGATTATATTAAGCAATTGCATGATTATTTTCAGCAGCTTCTTGATACCAATAAAAGGCTTTTTCTAAATTTTTTTCAGTTCCTTCATCATTTTGATATAAAAACGCAAGTTTACATTGTGCATATGCATGATTATTTTTAGCAGCTTTTTAATACCAAAAAAGGTCTTTTTTAAATTTATTTCTATTCCTTCACCATTTTTATATGATAATGCAAGAATATTCTGTGCAATTATTTGTCCATTTTTAGCAGCAATATGATACCAATAAAATGCAATGTTATAGTTCACTTCAATTTCAAATCCTTTATTATAGCATTTACCTAAATATAATTGTAAAATCAGATGATAACTTGCAGCTTTTATTAAGCATTTAAATCCTTTATTACTAGTGTTTTTATCTAAATTAAGTATATTGTAATAGTAAAAAATTCCAAGAAACAAAACATATTTTGATTCATTTTGATTTTCATTAAGCCAGTTGAATATATCATCAGTTGATCGAGTAGAAAGGGTAATACATATATTAAGATAATGTTTCATTTTATCAAAGTTTTTACCTTCATCTAGTTGTTTAATTAATAATATAAATAATTTATCAATTAGATTATTAATTTTGTCTGTTGAATCTATCATTTCTGATATGTATAGAAATTCGTCATCTGTTTTTGACATATTTGAATTTAAATAAAGAAAAAAAAATTTTTTTCCAGATTAAGATATTAAGTCAAGTTTACAATTGAAAAATCGAAGGATTTTTTTTTCGTCGTTCTTTATCGAAGATCGACATGCATAATGAGAATCCGGAAATATTCTATAATTGGTTAGTGAAATGATACAAGACACTTAACATTCTAATATAGAAAAGTATTCGAATTGGTTTTTTTTCCAAATGAAGTTAGAATTTGCAACTTAAACTAATCGTTGCACGAAACCCTTTTTCTATTACCTTAAATGGCAAAATATATTAATGTATTGATTACTAAATAAATAATACAAGATTATTTTTTTTTCGAAAAAATTCAATACACGTTAATCCTATAAATCCATTTATTTGGATATGAATAGAACATGTAAACGTTTATGTAAATATTCCTTTAATAAGTCCTGTTGCCAACACTCTTTCTTTATTTTGATGATATTTACAACATTTCCTCTCTTTTTCTTGCAAATGTACACTACATCTTTTTTCAAAAAATTTAATGGACCGACCGTTCAAAGATGATTTTCAAAACTAGAAATACCTGGACTAATTAATGATGACCATTCGCCGGAAACTGTCAAATATGAACTGTTACGACCTGAATTCATTGACAATAAAGGCTCGTTAGTTCAAAATTTTTGAATCACAATTCTCGTGCAATAAAATTTATTATTTCTTAATGTATCGAAGAAAGCAATTCAAACTCCTTCATACATTTTTTGGACGATATAAGGTTTTATCGAATATAATCTGTTTTATTATTATTTATTATTTTTTGGGAATTTTTTTTTACTTCCGAATCTTTTTTTTTTATTTTTAATTTTATCATTTGATGTACGCGATAATTTTATTAGTTTAATTTTTTTTTAATTTATTTCGATAACACTGAACACTTGGATCTTAAACCTCAATTTTTGGTACTTCTTATTATATTTGATAAGATAATTCCCGATGAATATAAAAGTCCTTTGTTATGTAAATAAGTTGAGAAGGGATCCGTAATAAAAAAGTTCAGAGGTTGAAGAAGAGTATGAGGATGTCGTAATTTAAGAAAATTTTATAAAAAATCAAATTTTTTATTTTTTTTAAAACAAAATAATTCTTTAAAAATATATGAACAAAACATGACGCTATTATCATGGTCAGATTTTTGAAGAACAATTCAAATAAATGTCATGTATCAAACAAAAAACGACACTTTATTTTATAATATATTGTATGGCGCAACGAATGTTTTCGTAACTTTAAAATTCTTTGTCGATTGTTATTGTAATTACAGCATACATGTCTGATCTGATAATTAAATAATCAATACGCCGTTGTTTCAACAAATATGTAATTTTTTATTCACGTGATCGTTCCTTATAATATCTCACTAACTATATAAATTTCCAAGTTTCTTCACGAACATGTTTATACACAATACACAACAAAAAAAAAATTAAATAAAAAAATTGGACTGTATCTTACTTAACTTTGCTAACTTTGTCTTATTGATAATCACTCTAATTTTTTTATTGAAATAAATAATGGTAAGTTAGAAGAGGGTTAGGCGTGATTAATTGAAGCCTTAGAGTTTTTCCAAGAAAATATTAAAATTTTTCCAGAAAATTATTTAAAATTTCCGGTTCGAGGTCTAGAATGATCGGTTATGGCTAGCCTTTGCGATTAAACATTTAAGAACCCGTTCCTTTGAGAGTGTTCACTATCCCGGAGATAGTTCGGCATCCAAGGGGATGCCCACCGTTCCTGCAAGGACGCCGACCTGTTCTTCGCTGGAATGCCCACAAATAACTTTCATCTTTATAAAAATTATAGAAACGGTTGTGATAGCCCAAAATGCACGTTTTTGTTGAATAGGTTAATGATATTTTAATATTATTCATACTTTTGCTTCATAGGTCCCAATTTGAATCTTGAAGAGGAGCGTGAAATTGGTAAGTTATAAAATTATATCAAAGGATATGTTAACGGAACTTGTATCTAATCGGCTTATTTTCATAACATATTATTCCCAGTATCTTTCTGCTCTCGATATGCTTAGGGCCAAACTCTACTATAAACAGGAATGGTGTCAACACGCCATCCAGATGTTAAAGCATCAAAAAAAATATGTTTGTCACCTAATTTCGTGAGAAGAGATTTTAATTTTTACTTTAGTTTTTGTAAATGATGACAATAATTTTCTCAGGGCTTGTCACGGATCCTTAAAAATATCAATCAATCGTGGCTTAAGCACGGATATTCAAATTAATTTGATGCTGATGGCAGAAATGACCAAAATGACATTTCGTCCAGATCTGCCAGATGGGCCAGAAAAGCAAAAAAACCTCGAAATGTAAGATCTGACAGAAATGCCAGCGATTGATTTAGGTGTAACTAATTTTGCCTAGTAAGCGTATTAATGTACTGTGAGATCAGTAATGGAATGGAACATAATCTTTTATGATACATATTATTTAGAAAGTGAGGGTTGGGAAATTTTGCAACATGTCGACTTTTCAATAGGGATGGTATGAGTCGATTCGAGTCGGTTCTTGGAACCGATTCTAAATTTAGCAGATTCTTCATCTCCTTAGTTTGGAACTACTTTTAACAAATATTAAAAATTAGAACCTGGAACCGACTCTGGAGCCGATGCTCAAATGGTTACAAACAACTGACCAATCAAGTTTTGAATTTCAACACATGTTCTACCTGTTATAAATTTGACTTTAGCTCATGTTTTACTAATGAGAGCCGATGAAGAACCGAAATTGAACCGACGAGCCGATTCCCATCCTTATTTTTCAACGAGAATTTACTGTGCTCCATCGAACGAGTGGTTAAGTTAGTGATTGAATTAATGCAATAAAAAATGTTGCGTCATCCTTCGATGGATCTGGCATGAATCTTAAAACCCTTATGATGAAATGGTCAAGCGACAAGTTCTCTTCCTTGATTCCATGGAACTTATGAATACGGAACTATAATCCAACAACCGATGATACTTAACGGTGACTTTGGAGCAATTATAAAGATATTCTCAGAGAAGAGTTTTGGAAGAGAAAGCAATGGGGAATTGTAACTAAATTATTAATAAAATGTGAAATATTTACGTCCGGTTGGGGAATATTTCTTATTTTTTTTTTTTTACACATTTATGTCTAAATTCTGCTCAAACGGGTTGTTAATTTAGTTTTAGATAGATTATGGCAGAAACGTAATGTTATTTTTAGCATTAGTTGAATCCCCTTATTAAAAAATCTTTGAATTTTTTAATTGTGATCCGTTGACATTTATTGTTACTTGTCGCAATTCTTTTCAGATCACTTTCACTCTTACCTTGACATTACATATTCATGAAAGGTCAAAATTCAAATTTGATTTGATTTTAAGATTAGATGCCGAAAAAGCGCGACTTAACTGACAATAATTTTTCCATTTGCATTTTAAGTGCATCAGAAAATGTTATAAAAGTAGAATTCGTCGCGATCAAATTTTCATCACCAATCATCATATATCTGTAGTTTTTTCTTTCTCGAAACTGGTCGAATTATAATAACTCGATCCGATCATGAATAATAACTAATTTTTTTTTATTGATTGGATCTTCGTGATGCATACATGTGAATCCTATGGACAATATTTTCGATTTTTTGAATCTTAGGTTATATATGAGGTTAAGTTAAATTATTATGGGTTCCTCTTAATTACATACACTAATTTGGCTTTCTGAGGATTCCATATTCGATCATTATGAACTTTGTTGCAAGACAAAAAAAAAATATGGAGCGGAAAAAAAGTTTTCATCGGGTTGATTCATCTGCATGAGCTGGCACAACCACAAATACCGTGAATCGACATTGATACAGATATAAATATGTATATCACTACAAAATATATAAAAAGGGAGGCAAATTCAATCCGATAATTCCTTTAACAAAAAATACCGAAAATTTTTACATCATTAAATATAAATTGCAAAAATGTTATACGGGAATAAATCTGAAAAAAATGTTCCGTTTGGACAAATTCTAGAACTTTATAGCTTTTTAATCATTTCAATAATCAAGCATCTCAAGCCCGTAAATATTTTTAATTTTGCATCTACTCTAGTAGTGTTTTTTCATTGAAATTAATGAAGTTTCGTAACATATCAAGACTTTTGTTCATTGAAAAAATAAAAAAATTAATTCGCATGTACATGTATGTATACTACATAATCTATGTTTATTGAATGATCATAATTTTTATTCGAATTTGCATTTCCCAATCAATATTCGATTATACATTATCAGATATGTAACAGTTATTACTAGAATTTACGAGACAAGATAAAAACCCAGACTTAAAAGCCGAAGAAAGTCGAACTTTAAACTAAGATTATTAAGTTTTTAAATGAACCATAGAAAAATTTGCCGAAAATGAGACCTAAATAGCATAATTTAAAACTGATTTACAATTCTTAATCTTGAACTAGAAATAAGACCAACCATAGAATAAATACAAGAGAACTGGATCTAAAAAAATTCGCAAATTCATTCAGGAATTCTTAATGAGGAATGGATAATTGAGTATGTCCGTCTTTTATGGAAAGGTTCGATTTAATCGAATTACATTGATGATTTAAAAAAAAGAAGTATATTTCAGATAAATTATATCCTCCTTCTTGAAATATGAAACTTCAATCTTGAGTGACATTATAATTGTTAATAAAAGTTTGCGAATGCAAGCATCAGAGCAAACTTATGCACATCCACCTAGAAATATTAGACCGCCTATCGTTTTTTCACCCTCTTCATAAAAAATACCGTTGAACGCTAACTAAACCATCCCGAGATTTTTGCAAATTTAATATGACTAAATGCAATATACCCCTGATGAGATAATATTTGTTAAAAATGGTGGCTTAATCAGATGTTACTGAAGAATAATCATAGGAATCATGGCCTTCATAAGTTCCATCCATCATTGGAGTTACTAAAAAACGACTAATTTTGGGGTAACAATATCATTAAGAGCAAGTTGACTGCGGCACACATGTAAAGTCAGGTTGGTACCGATAGGATGTACTACACGAGAAGCATAAAATATGTATGATTATTTGATAAATTTCAATAATGGACAAGCTACTGCTTTAAATGCTTCTAACAAAAATCTTTTTATTAAAAATAAAAATTTAGGATCTGATGATATGATATGGCTTTCGATAAATTTGCCAAAGAAAATGACCACGTAAATTCATCTTTTGCACCGTGGAATTATTATTGCAGAATGAGTAATCGCAGCCCATCAATCTAGAGCATAATGAACGGATTCTTCCTCCTTGCGTTATTAATAATTCCTTGATATTGTTTCAAAACATTGCTTCATTTGTGCGAAGAAAACCAGATATTCCCTTTTAATCGTTCGATTATAAGGAAAATTCATTATCAATATTGAAGTCTCGATTTTCTCTTTTCTCAGTATAAGAAAATACTAGATGTTCTATCTTGCATGCCACGGTACTTTATTGTCAGAAATAAAAGAAGTATTGGTCTTATTTATTATACTTATAGAAATATTTAATCAAGATTGACCGCTGCAAAGAATTGTCAGACATCAATAATTTTTATTTCACATCGTTATTTAATAGATAAGATATTCATAAAGATGAAGATGATGACAACGATGTAGTAATAGCTATACAGATTTTGCAATTAAGGTTTGAAAATTTTGTGTTATGTTTTCTTGATAATTAACACATTTATTTGTTTAAAGGTCTCGTTAATCTTAACTGATGAAGGGTATAATTATCGGGAGGTTAAAAGTCGTTAGTTGCTCTTACACTAATATTTGCAACTTAATAATGCTATACTGCTATTACATTTATGCTTTATTTTTAACTTATGATTATTAAAAAAGCAATAATAATATGAATTGTTTGATAATGGACAATTCATTACTAACTTTCGACAGGAAAATTTCAAATAAAATGTCACGTATTACAAAGTAGATGCACTTAATTTCATCACATAGGTAATGTTAAAAGCGAATATTTAAAACGAAGTTTGAGCCAAATTATTTTTTTTTTTGATCATTTGATTAATTAATTCCTTTTAAATATTAATAGGAATGACCGCAATAATTTCATTCTATTATTGTATATTATCAAGAAAATGTAAAGCGTTGTTCATTATTATTTTTTATATCATTGATAATGTGAAATTTTTATTGAACATAAATATTTCTTTATTTTTTTGGTATGCGCATTATTTCCGTAAATAAATTTTAAAATGATTATAATTTGTAAAAATCTATAGAATATAAAGGGTTGAAAAATTAAAAAGACTTTACAAATTAATCTCTTATTGCATGATTAATTACGCTACTTTAACATATCGTCATATCTTTATTGTATAATATAAAAAAGAGTCTTTCGAGAAATAATAAAAGTTTTATTAA